CTTGGAGATGCAGCTGCGGGACAGTCTAGTTAGTGGAGGAGGAGCAGAAGTTGGGCTTTGCTGTGTTCCCTTTGTCCCTTGATGCTGGGTTGACACGACACTGTCACTGCTGTGTGTGTTTCAGCTCCTGCCTTGCCTTAACGTAGAGAAATGGGATGAGCGCATCAGACAGCTTGCCCACATCTATCTGTTGCGGGAGTGCAGATTGATGCGTCTCCTGGTGCTCAGATGCCTCGTGGTGCTCTCCAAGGGACAACCTATGGTGAGAAGCTGGCACCACAGCTGAAACTGTCCTGCTAGTGWGTGCCTGGGTAAAGAGTAGCTTGCACTTGGATGGGCTTCAGAAGATGGGCTGYTGCTCCCAGCTCTCCTGGCTGTACATTCATCTACCAGAGTCCATTGGAACAAGTCTTTGCCTTTTGGGCTCTGAGGCATCAGCATGGGATTGAACTGCTACAGTGGTTCTGGCAATGCTGCCTTTCATGGCTTCACAACCTTGCATTGTGTTCCACACAGGCTGGAAGCATGCAAATTCTGACTGAAACCTTCACAGAGGTACTGAAGGATGGAGACACGGAGGTGGTGTGGCTGACTCTCTCTGTGCTTAGTGAGATGCTCCTGCACACGGATGTGCCAATTGCCAGCTCCCTTGCTCTGCAGCTGGCTGAGGCATTCCAGCCTCTCTTTGACCATGTAAGGTTCTGTGGTCCCCACCACAGGTGCTGCTAGGAAACTGTGCCCTTGTGGATTTTCATTTCCATGCCCAGGCAGGCCTGGAGCAGTCAGGGCTGAGCTTCTTCTCTCCTCCTTTTCACAAGGACTCCAGTCATGTGCAGCTGCTCTCCATGCGCCTCTTTAAAGTGGTGTTGGAGTTGGCAGAGGAAGACACAGATATGTCCCTGCATGACTGTGTGCACCAGAGCCTGCTCCCGCTCTTCTATCACATGTATGATGAGAACCAGTTTGTGGCACAGGTGAAGATTCTGAGCTACTGGTGACCCCTGTGAGCAGGCTCAGCTGCCTTCTCCTCTGTGCCTCAAAGAATGCAGCACTCCTGCCTTTGGCTGGCCCTATGTCCTGGCATGCTGTGCCATTTCCCATTCTCTGCTGCTCTGCAGGCCTCTTGGGAAACCCTGCTTCGAGCAACAATATTCCTGAAGATGTGGAATCTTGTGCAGCTGCTGGAGACAGAAGAGCGGTGGAAGTTTGCCGAATGGCTGGTAAGGATGGCCTCATAGCCCCAGAATCCATCTGAACAAGCCCTTTGCCCCCAATACACATTGTGTGGGACTGGCAGCTGTGGCCCCTGCCTACTGCTGTGCTCATCACCAACAGCCTGCGCCCCACACACTGCTCCCCACACACTACTCCCCTCTAGTGTAAGCCCTGTAGGCTCTTCTCCAGGCTCCAGTCCCTCCCCGAGTCAGGCTGCCAACAGAGCCCCAATCCAGCTGCGCTTTGGCATCAGGACAGCCCTGAGGCTCCCTGTGTAGTAACCATCTCTCTGTTCCCTCCAAACCCTGGCACTAGCCAGCTCTTGGCTGGCCATCATGGGTGGCCATGCAAGGATGCCAATCCTGGATGCAGGGGCTGTCCATTCAAGGGAAAGAGTCAGTGCCAATCCTTCCTTCTGCTCCCTTGTGCTCTCTTCAGCTGGAAGAGGAGATCGACAGAGCAGACGCGTACCTGCGCCAGTCTGTGACGTACCTGCAGAGCCCACAGAAGTCCATAAGAGAGGCAGCTGTTAGGCTCACTGGTGAGCCAAAACCCTCAGGGTCCCTCACCACCCTACTGCAGCTGGCTCCTAGCCCCAGCAGCAGGTCTCAGCCCAGTGGCTCTGTACCCTGACTATGCCTCAGGACTTCCTGCTGCCCTCTCCCACCCTTGCCCTTGCAGTTTATACACAGCTCAGCCCTGCCAAGGGGAAGAGGACATGGCCAGGCTGGAAGCACTGGTGTTGGGAAGCTGTGGTGCTGGGGTGATGACAGCCTTGGTATCCCTAGTGCTCAGAATCTGCCACTTGAGCAGGCAGTAGGCATTGCTCTAGGTCACCTGCGAGGGTGAATGAGGGCAGTGGGATATCAGAAGGGACAGGCATGAATGCATGAAGGATCCTGGGTGGGTCTCCGCTCTGTCCACACTAGAGATTTAAGGGACATTTTGAGGTATTCCCAGCAAGTGCCTTAGGGCTAATCGTCTTAGTTCCAGCTCCCTTCTGGCCATGGGAAGAGCTGGGATTGGGTGGGGTGGGAAAAGATGGGGCTGCCCTGACAAGAGGGATTCCTTGGGTCCCCAAAGGTCTGGGCTCTGATCTTGTCTCGGTTCCTCTCTATTCCAGCCCTTCAAGGCACAAATAACTTTTTACCCTCCATCTCAAACCTTGCAACTCAAACCGTGCACATTCTAAGACCTTCAGAGAGAAATCCCAACTCCAGATTCAGGCAGCTACGTGACACATGGAGGAAGCGACCTACTCTCTTGGAAAATGACTGGCCTTCTCTGTGGCACAATGCCTGGTCACGTTTCTGGAAGTCCCTGCATAACTGATCCCAGGAGCTCTCAGGTCCATCTAAATGGGCAGGAAATACTAGATGGCTTCTGGTCAATCCCCACCCACAGGACAACTCTCAGATCACTTTTCTTCACCCCTTTTAAGGAAACTTTTAAAATGCAAATATAGGTGCTAGCTTCAATCGCTTTGTTTGGGCTCATGCCACTCAGAGCCCAATTTGCAGCTGCACACTGAGCTATCCCTACTGACTGTAAATCTCAACGCTCCTACCTGTGTTTTAATTGAGCATACCTGTTAATACACTAACAGTAAAAAAAAAGGCATTTAACCATGCTCTTACATACAACACTATAACAAGTAACAAACTTAATAGAATTAAGGCTAACGAGAATGTCATAGGACAGAAATATTTATCAATATGAAACCACAAAGGATTCTCAAAAGTCAATTACTAATCAAGAGGTTGATCCTTTTCTCTACTCTGGGTCAAGCATTCATCTCTATCTAACAACTCTTATATTTATATTTGTTGTAACATGAGCACTGATTTCTTTATGAAATTTTTTTATTATTCTTCCTGAATAAGTCTTGCTGGAAAGGCTTCTGCCCAGCCTGACAGCTGGTCTACTACCACCCAGCCACAGATGGCATGTTCATAGGGTCTCTTTGCAGTCCCTGAAAAAGGAAGTCAGTTCATAGTCACCCTCCTAACTGTGAGCTCAGTCTGATACTTGAAAACTCATGTCAAGTTGGACAGCCATTTGTGATTCTTTTTGTGGCGGCATAAATTCCTGGAGCTAGCTGTATTTTTTTGTACTTGGATAACTATTGCCTGTGTCCGTCCATGGTTTGTGTCAGACTGCAAACCCTCTGCATGCTTTACAAAGGACCAAAGCTCCCTGCATGCCTGAAAAGAGACCTCAACATCCCCTGTACACTTTACAGGGGGCCTCAGTCCCCTAATCAACTTGGGAGAGACTCTAAAAACCCCTTTATGTGTGCCTTTTGCTGATCAGGCTGTGCACCCATACTCAACACACTAATTTCCCCAACTATGTATGTAATGCTGCAGTGCCTGAAAGTCTGAAATAGTTTATGGAATTTAATAAAAATAATTTGAGACGCTTATGAGTTTATGTTGAATATACTCTGGGAATTTAACATTGATCCTTTGGATACTCCTTGCTTCAAAGATCTCAGGTGAACTCACAGTTTCCCATGAACTCCACAACAGTTGGCTGTTTGAAGAAGAGGGGCTCTGAAGGTGGTGGCCTAGGGTCCCATGTGGGTTGCTAAACTGTTAAGAAAACTTCCCTATCTGACCACGTCACGACCCATTTGGTTGGGGAGGTGATGTTTGCTGTAAATTTTTTGTTCACTGAACAAAGACACCAGTGCACGTGTCAGGGACTTTTATCTTTTTTCTCTATATTCACGTAAAATCCAGAAACTAGCCCACTATAAAACTGTAGAAATGTTGGCTCGAAAGCTCTCAACTTTTACAACTGACTTTAACAATCTCCCAGTCCTCACCACAGACTTTGGTACAGAACAAGGGATGTCACAGACACACTTTGCCAAGACATAACAAAAGCGGCGAGAAATAAAAATGGAAAACAGCGGCTGAGAACTGCGATAATATTGCCATCTACATTTAACGTCATTTAATTAAATCGCATGATTAGTGATGTGACAGGCATTAGCACTGGCTCTTTAGCCACAGCCGACTCTACCGCGCAACACCGCTTCCACAATACACAGTGTAACACTCTACCGGGGACAAAAACACTCCAAGCGCTTCCTTCCGCTTGCAAGGCAGCCCCGCCTGCGCAGCCCCGGCTCCGGCTGTCGGCTCCGCCCGCTCCCGGCCGGCGCTGGGCAGCACGTCACGTCACGGCGCCGCGCCGGCCCGGCCCTGCAGCTTCCCTGGGGCTCTCCGCTAGCCCGGGGGCCGCTCCTGTGGTTCCCGGCTTGTGGCGGAGCCCCGGCGCTGTCGCGGAGCCATGTCGCGGCCGAGGAACGTCCCCCCGCGACCGCCCGATGGGGGCACAGGCGGCTCGGGCGCCCCCGCCGCGCCGGGCCGAGGCCGAGGCGGCAAAGGTCTGAGGGATATCCGTGTGGACGAGGAAGTGGAGATCGCGGTGAATCTGGCTCTGGAGCGGTTCCGCTACGGCGAGGACACGGGTGCGTAGGGCAGCCGGGCCCGCGGGCTCTGCCGGCGGGTGCATCTCGGGTGCCCGCGGGCTCTGCCCCAGCGCGGCGGCGGCTCGAAACGGGGCCGTGTCCCGGACGGCTGCGAGGGGACAGCGCTGCCACCAGCCCTGGCGTTCACGGCAAGCGTGGGGGGTTTGGGGATTGGGAAACTCGTATCGCCGAGGTCATACGTCAGAGACACTGCCTGTTGAGTGTTTATTTTTATTTTTTAAAATTATCTTTCTAGAAATGGAATTTCCATCTTCTTTCACTAGAACTGAAAGAAAGTTTGTTCACCGGCTCTGTCAGTCTCTTGGACTGATATCTAAAAGTAAAGGGTAAGTTTGACTTTAATTTTTATGTATTATTTTTTCCTTTTGGTGCATGTTTGTGGGATTTCGTTATCAGTGTTAAAACGGTGCGTATTTTTAGCTTGTCCTTCACTGTTGCTGGGAATGGTACAAAGGAAGATACAGTAGGTATAAAAATAAGCATCTCTGTGCTTTGCTTGATGCCTGCATCCAAAAGCTGGTGACATGCTAATCTTCAATGCAGTTGTGAGGATTTCATGTCCATAAAGAAGAGTTCTCAGGAAGATTTGTCCTGGTTTTTTTTTTCCCTGCACTGATGTGTATTTTGCACAGAATCTCCTACATTGACAGCTAAAGTGTAACTTAGAGTAGCACGTTAAAAAGAGTTACTTCTGTTGGGAAGCACAGAGGAGAATCGAATGTTGCCAACAGGCAGAGAAAGTCATTCTTGGCCTCTACTCAGCACTGATTAGGCTACACCTGGAGGGTTGTGTCTGTCCAGTGCTGGGATGGCTGGGAGGACAGAGACCTAGACTGGAGAGAGTTACGTGGAGGACCAGCAGCCTGCTGAAGAGGGTGGAGCATCCCTGTGAAGAAAAGGCCAAGTGATGGAACTGTTCAGCCTAGAGAAGACAAGGCTCAGGGAGTGCTCAGCACTGTATATAAGTACTTGAAATGAGGGTGTGAAGGGGACAGAGCCAGGGGCTGCCAGAGGTGGCTGCGTCTCTCCTCCCAGAGGCTGCCCTGCCAGTACCTTTGTACCTGCACCAGTCTTCCACCCCTGCCAGGGACAGGCCACTGGACTATTAGTGTGAACCTTCTGTTCTTACCCGGAAAAGCTGTTTTGAAAGGGTTGATATGTTTGTTGTAGCCCAGGCACAAGTTAGTCCCGTTTCAAATGTACGTACAATTCTTTGCCTTTTTGGTGTCATAGTTCAGTCTGACAAGTAGTGCAGTGTTATGATTAAGGGTTTTGGGTCCATTTCTACATGAAAAATCTTTGCTAATGAGCGTCCTGGGATCTAATATGTTCTTCTGGATTTTGTTAAGGCATGGAATGTCAGTAGGAGGGAGCTTTTTTGTCTATTCTGCCTATTGATTTTTAACTTCTAGTCAAGTTGGTGTCATAACTCTCAGTATTGATTGATAAAATGATTGGTAGAGCTGGCTGTATTTTGGGAGACATGCAGTGATAACCAGGGCATAGTCATCTGATGTCTGCAGTGTCTGTTCTACTCTATGTCCCATGAATAAAGGGTGCTTTTGATGATGACTGATGTGAATGTTCCGTTGTGCTGCTTAGGACATCATTTGGAAGATTCTAGTTATGACATTATATTTGAAAATAAACTGAAAGTAATCTTTAAAGAATTGTTGTCAAAGATCATGACACGGAGGTAACTAGTTTGCTTATTCCTAAAATGCCTTTTTTTCCTTTCTCCCAGAAAAGGAGCTAATCGATACCTAACTGTAAGAAAAAAGAATGGATTGGAACTAACACATGCAGTAATGACTTGTGCCTTAACTCCTGGTACAAAACACATTATTCGTACTTTAATTCGGAATTTTCCCGTCACAAATAAAGAACGAACAGAACTTCTGCCAAAGACAGAACGAGGAAATGCCTCTGCCATTGAATCTGGTATGTTCAGTGATGTATCTTGTGATATGGACTTGTCAGTCAATGTACTTGAAAAAACAACCCCCACTGTCTTCTGTATCGTGTTCTGTCTTGACACTTTTTTTCCAAGCCTGTTAATCTTCTTGACTTTGAATTGTTAGTATAAGCTTGTTTGAAACTGGTGACATCAGGTGCTCAGGCAGTCATGTCACCCACATTGCAGTGTCTCCCTTTTGTCACATAAATTTTGATTCTTTGAGCCAATTTCAGCCACTTCTTTTTTTTAAAAAACAGTTGTGAAATGTGAATTTCTGCAAGTTCCATGGGGTAAGATTGAAAAGACAAGTGTTACCATCACTGTGTCTAACAACACCCTTATGAGAAAATGAGACTGGCTGTTGTGCTTTAGAAATCCATGTTCTTGATACAAGAAGGAGTTCATGTTTTGTTTCATTGTCTTTTAAAATAGATTTGGTCTCTAAGAGGCTGTTATGTAAACTTGATTACTAGAGTATGTAAAGTTCTCTGGCAGACAAACTTGAGATAAGAGTTTTTTAAACGATGCTTTTAGCATGGGTGTTGCCTTAACAGTTAGGATTGTAAAAGTTCTAGTGTTTATGTGTATGACGATGGCTATAGTGAACAGAAAACAGCAGTATGCCTTGTTTCAGTGGATATTTATGACTTATTATGTTTGTGCTTCAAGTGCTTCCTTTGCTAGGTTTCTTTCTCAGTTGTTTCTCTTGTTTAATAGGATTTTTAGTGAACAGGGGGAAACAATAAGAATACCAAAAAGCAATTTCTTAGGGATGTAAGATATAAATTAATGAGTAGTGTAAAATTTGTTTTTCTTCTCCAGAATTGTCTTTGGCTCTTTTAATCTGTTAGTCTGTGTCTGTCTTCGTAAAACAGTGTTTGTAATTTAGTGTTCAAATCTGTTAATTGCATTAAATAGTTGCATTATGGCTATATAAGTGCATTAAAATTGAGTTTACAGTAAGCTTCTCATTCTTTTGGAAAAGAATTTTTAAGGAATTAGAGTAGCAGTTAAAATACTGGCAGTGAAGTAGCCTCCTCAGAAGACTGCAGGTTTGTTAGGTACTTATGCAGTGCTTTCTAAGGCTGCTGCATGGCTCCAGGGCCCTTGATACATCATGGTTCAATTAGTATGTGTTAAGACAAATCTTGCAGACTAAAGTAGTCGGTTATGTAAGACTTACTGAAAGGTTGTTTTAAAGACCAATAATGATGTGAAAAAAGGCATATGAATCACAGTAAAGTTGTCTTTTTGTTAGAAAACACACTTGTCAGTTTGGCATAACTTAAGTGTTTAACTGTAGGGTGGGTTTTTCTAGGCAAACTCATGAGACAGGAATGTGTAAACCAATACAAAAGCCAAGAAGGTGTGCCCCAGGCCTTTTTTCTTTGGYTTACTTTCTCTTTAAGCTCTTCACRCATTTTTTAAACTTGAGCAATTCACTGGGATAGTTCAATTGTGTTCAGAATTTCTATGGAAGTAAAAAGTCATTTGAACAATATTTATTTTAAGCACAATAACTGAATGCATTACAATGAAAATGACTTTTAGGTATGTGATGGTTTTTGGTTTCTGGCTTTATCGACGGGATACTGATAAAATCAGGACTGTTCWTTTTTAAGTACAATTTTAAACTGTTTTAGTGACCTTCGTTTGTGTATGTATAAATAATTTATTGACTTCTCTTCACAGAAAACAAAGAAGTGAACAAGACAAGTGGACGACTTAGTGACGGTATCCCTCAGGTTCCAGTGAAAAGAGGGGAATCAGAGTTTGATTCCTTCAGGGAATCACTACCAGTTTTTGAAAAACAGGAAGAAATTGTCAAAATAATAAAGGACAATAAAGTTGTTTTGATTGTAGGAGACACTGGATCAGGAAAAACAACTCAAGTATGTTTCTCTAATGAAATAAAACACATAACAGTATTTATACAAAACTGGTGCCAAATATCTGATATTTCTATAATAAGGGATTATTAAAATTCTAGTTTTAAGGCTTTTGTTTTCCTGTGTGGTTCAAAGTCTTGTGTTCCAGTTAAACGTTTTTGCTTTTGCAATACTAAGCCAGCAGATACATACTAAAAGCATAAATGATTTTGCACAATTTTCTCATGGATATCAATTTTTCATTAAAATAATCATAAGAATATTGAAGGGAAAGTAGCTATAGTTTTGTATACCCTTTTTTCTTCTAAAGCTAGTTCTGTTCCTAATATCTAGATTATTATTGTATTAAAATGAAAGATTATCTGCAGGGCTTTTTTAATAGTTTTTCCCGAAGTGGGAGGGAGAAACCTCAACTCTTGGTTGGTTGATGGGGGCGGGCGTTTGTTTTGTTTTGTTTGTTTGTTTGTTTTTTTTGTTTTGTTTTGTTTTGTTGTTGTTTTGTTTTGTTTGAAACAGATTAAACTTAGTAGCAGAAATTGATTTTTGTGGCCTTTTTGCCACTTCAGGTGCATTTGCAATGATAATTCTGTTGTGAGTCCTTTTGCARCCTGTGTGATACTGAAGTGCTGTTAAGTTGTTTCACTGTAGTAAAGTTACTATTTTATCAAGCTAAAAGGTAAATTTACACCACTTCTTTACAGATTCCTCAGTTTATTCTTGATGACTGTCACAAAAATGGAACTCCCTGCCGTATATTTTGCACTCAGCCAAGACGCTTGGCAGCGCTTGCTGTGGCTGAAAGAGTGGCAGCAGAAAGAAGAGAAAAGATTGGCCAGACAATTGGTTATCAGATACGTTTAGAAAGCAGGTACTGGTGACATTTCTTAAAATCAGTTGATCTGGTGTTGGTGTCTTTAGTCATGTAAATATTTAAACTAGAGTATGTTTGGGATGCAGCCCAGTAAAATGTCCATGTGTAAAGTATAGGTAGGATATGTTATTTTGGCTAATGAATATTAAAGAGTTGAAAAGGACRGTTTTTCTCCTCTACTTTGCAGTTCCATTTGCTGAGTTTTCTGTAGAACTGAACTGCAAGTGCTTTCTCTTGATTTCTTCTAGGGAGTATTTGTGTGGATATCCTTGTCCTCTCTACTTTTAACGTGCAAATCCAAAAGTTCTACAAGCTTTGAAAATAGCTAGAAAGACCAACATGCTGTAATAAAAGCTATACAGTGAGACTTGATGTGGCACAAAACGGGGAAAACAACAAAATAGGACAGTAAATGATAGTGTCGAGCATTACCAATGTACTTTGGGTTGAATTTACTGTTTCAGATTYTATGTTGAAAGCAAAAGCAKAAATTTCTAGGTCATATGAGGAATTTGTTCCTAAAGCAGAGCAGGGATGGATGAAAGTCTGAAGATTGTGGTTTCTAAAGTCTTTCAGTTGTAAAACTAGTGGGATTTTGAGGAATGGGCAGCAGTTGGGATATGAGTGAGAAGAATATGGCAGAAGTTATGGCTGGTTGTGTTGCTTATATGGATGAAGACAGTACATGTCTAGTGAAAATGAATGCATTTGAACAGCAAAGCCAGGTTAAAGAATTCGAATATGCGTACCAAAGGTCACAAAACTATTAATGAAGTAAAAGGGCAAGTAAAGATGAATTGCAAATAGTGTGGATGATTCAAGTGGAAGAATTATGCTGAATGAAGAAAAATAAAGTATAGGTCAGATGGAAGAACACTGGAAGCAGTGCAGAAGAATCATAAATTCACTTAAGAAAGAGCAAAAAGGAGAGATGTCAATGTTTCCATCTTGGCAGAAAGTGTTCAATGGAAGTATCTGCAGAAATACAGAAATATGTATTTTTTGACTTTTACTGTCTATTAGACAGTAGTGATGATATCTAGAAGGCTGGTGAAAAAGAGAAAAGAGCAGAAATTAAAAAAGTAAAGTACTTCTCTCTCGTATGTGTTCCTTGATTGCAATATGTAAGAGTATTTTTGAAGTGAAGAAGGAATTCCTAACTTGAGAAGAAGTGTATKTGTATGTGTATGTGTMTTCCTTTATATAGTGCTCTACAGTTTTTTCTGGAAGTTTTTTGGGAGTACTTGAAGTACTCCAATGCTGGAGGAAGTAGAGCCAATTACTGTTTTTGCTTGCACAGCTAACACTGCTACAGGTAATAGGTACTTTTAAAGAATTTTAGAGTCTTGAAAGATCACAACATTTGAAGAGGTTCAGTTGATTTCTTTGTGRTGCAGTCAAGTATAGTGTATTGGGTTTGTGTGGCAGGGTTATCATAGTGAGGGAGTTGTTTTTTGTGATGAGGACATTTCCCACATGTGTGATAGAACCTCTGCCATCTGGCTGTAAGAGAGACCTGCCACTGGCAACAGTGACAATGCCTCTGGGACAACATTTGAGAAGGAGAAAAAAAAAAATCTGGGCTGCATTACAAAGAGAAGACTGTGAACATTTGAGAGGAATAGTTCTGCAAGCACCAAAGTCTGTTTCAAAAGAGGGGCAGAAGATGCCACATGTGCCAGAACAGAGATTCCCCTGCAGCCTGTGCTGGAGACTTCGGTGAGGCAGGATGTTCCCCTGCAGCCCATGGAGGTCCACCATGGAGCGTACACCCAGCTGTGGAGCAGCCTGTGGAGGAGCCYGTCCCAGAACCAGTGATTGCCCAAAGGAGGCTGTCACCCTGTGGGAAGCCTGTGCTGGAGCAGGCTTCTGACAGGACCTGTGGTGCACTGAGGGAGGAGTCTTCACTGGAGCAGTTTTGCTGGTGGGACCTGTGAACCTTTGGGGGTCCCACACTGGAGCAGTCTGTTCCTGAAGGACTGCACCAYACTGAAGGCACAAACAGTGAAGCAGTTTGTGAAGTGTGAGAAATCTGTCCTGTGAGGAGGAAGAAGCAGCCGAGACAAGATGTGTCAACTGACCACTGCCCCCATTCCCTGTGCCCCCTGTGCACAGTGGGGTTGGAATTAGAGAAAATTTGAAGTCATGCCTTAGAAGAAAGGCAGGGTGGGGAGGATATTTTTTAACATTTGATTCTATTTCTTCTGGATTTAACTGGTAATAAACTAAAGTTGCCCAAGCCAAATCTGTTTTGCCCATAATGGTAACTGATGAGTGATCCCTCCCTGTCCTGACCTTGACCCATGAGCCTTTTGTTGTAYTCCTTCTCCTCTGTCCACCTGAGGAGGAGAGAGATAGAGCAGCCTGGGGGARTGCCTGGCATCCGGCCAAGGTCAGCCAGCCATGTGTAGAAAAATACAAGGACTATATCTGTGGRTATTCTGAAGAATTGAAACCTGTTTTTCCAAGGCAGTCAGTCTGAATTTTCCCGTAAATGAAACAACATGGAGAGGTTTTCAAGGTTCTGTTTTACTTGCTTATTAATTTAGAAAGAAATGAATCTCACCTTGTTAATTAATCCCTTGTTCTTGAGCATSTGGAGCTGAGAATCCTTAGGAACTCTGGGAACAGGCATAGTTAATAAACAAATAGTATGCATGAACTTTCTGGTAACAGTGCTGTGATTTCACTTCTGATGAGGAGCTGTTTCAATAAATAGTGGAAAGTAGCATTTAAGTGGTGGAAAAAAGTTGAAGCATTTTTGTAAACTGTTTCATAGGGTTTCTCCAAAGACACTGGTGACCTTTTGCACTAATGGCATCCTGCTGCGCACGCTGATGGCAGGAGACAGCACCCTATCCTCCGTGACACATGTTATTGTGGTAAGGATCTTGTATTTCATGTGAGATGGGGCACCACATATTGTTAGTTAATTAGAAGATGAGATCCTAGTTTACAATGTTAATTTGATGAACATTTAARGTGTTTTTGTTAAATTAAAATCTAAAGTAACTTTAAATTAGAGTTCCTGAGTTTTAATTGTAGTATGCATATTTTTCTGGTGTTTGTTGTTTGTTTTTTTTCCCTAAAAACATCTTACTTTAGGTTTGTGCCAATAATTAATTTTGGAACTGTGATGTGATTGTGGAGAGCAGAGGTCTAAATTTTTCTGAATTTCCTTTGTCAGCAGAAAAGCCTTGGGGAGGCTTACATMGATATGGTTCAGTGCTAGTGTGTCAGAATTTCTGTTATCATGTACTTGATTTTGCAGTTCCAAGTTTGCAGTACAGTTTCCATTTGTTTGCCCAGCGTTTTCAAGATAAAATGCAGTCGAATTTTTAGCAAATTGTGTTAATGTATGATTATGTGAATTTCTTGTTGTGGTGTTTGATAAGTCAGTGGAACAAGAATGTGTTACTGCTGGTTCTCCATTGCTGAAAACARAAGAGCACATAGTAATTTTAGGTGCCTGTCTGTTTACCAAGGAGGAAAAAAGCACAAGAATGATTTATTCAGTCTTGGCTTCAGCCTGCAAATCTTGTGTTCGGATTTTTGTTTCATACTTTCAGAATATAAAACTAAACAGAAGATAGACAAAGGGGATTAATCAGTCAAATGCCTTAATGATAAGCTTTGTGCATGATTTAATGGATCTAAGAAATGTGTCATCATTATATGATATCCAGTTCTTCAAATGCTCGTCAGTTGAGAAGGGAGATTTTATTGAAATAAGATTTGTACTGTTTTGCTGTTAGTGACATTATCTTGAAAATGAGGTTCAAGTACAAGAMCTAGAGAAGTTTCAGATAATCTTTTTGATCTCTGAAATTAAGATCTCTGTGAGCTGTCCATTACAGTGCAGTCTGCTCTGATGTCTTTGTAAAACTTTTTGAAGTATTTTTACTTTGGGATGGTTTTTTTAAAAATCTTTCTTAAACTAAACCTGAACATTTTAATGGCTTTGTAATGTACCACCAAATCACATTTTTTAGTTGTAAAAAAAATAATTTTTGTGAAGAGTTATGGTCTTGGATCTTTGATGTTTCTTTTTGATTTTCTTTCCTTTCTTACAGGATGAAGTACATGAGAGGGATAGGTTCAGTGACTTCTTGCTGATAAAACTGAGAGATGTGTTGCAAAGCCAAGCTAATTTAAAACTAATTATTTCCAGTGCTGCTCTAGATGCAGATCTCTTTATTAGGTATTTTGGATGTTGCCCAGTAATACACAGTAAGTACTTAAGTAAAATCTTAAATCTCAGTAAGAGATTGCCCTGAGACTCATAGACCTTACTGTACTTTACCAAACGGTTCTGAGCAAAGGCATGTGATAAAGACACTGATAGTTACAGCAATGGTTATTCTTTGTTTTCTCRTGTTTGTTGTTTCTTGACTATTTGCATCTACCTCAGAGGGAAGTTTTTATCAATGGGTGTTCTGTAAATGCAGAGGTATCCTTGCCCTGCCCATGTTTAGTTCAAGAGGGAGGAAAAGGTTCTTGAAGTGCTCATCTGCACTGTGATACAGACCCTAGGATACAGAGTGTGATATCTATTAGCAGATTCCTGTTGATTCCAGTTCTGGCTTCAGAGATTGCCACTAGTTACTGGGTAAAACTCAGATASAGATAACTGTATCTGTTCATTTCAGAAATACAGTCCTAGGCAAATTGGGGTTTATGTTTTAATCACATGATTTTTTGCTTTGTTTAGAATTTTCACCAGAAATCACTGGTTAATTTTAGGGGATGTTCATGAGAAAGAATTATTTTTTCTTTTTAACAGGTAAAAGTGTTCATTTCTGGTTTTCAGTTTTGAATTTTTGCCTAGGAAAATAAGGCTTGCAGCTTGTTGGAGGCAGGAAGCTGGAAGTGGCGTATAATTTTAAGTTTGGCAAACATTTTTGGAGAAGAGAACCCTCACTGTAATTTTTCTGTGGCTTTCTGGTCTACTTTTTTTGTAGCTTCTCATTATTTTAGATCAATAGATTTATTTTGGAAATCTGACTGTTGTCTCTTTCTTCAGTTTACCACAGTGGTTACACTGTTATTACATACTGGACGTCACAGGATAATCACAATTGAAAAGATGCTTTTTCCAATTATTTAATTTAAGAATTAAAAGAAGAGGATTTAGATACTTTGTCTGTTATTGTCATGAAAATCTGGTTTGATTCTTCAGCAGTATAGCTGTCACAATCCTGACCATAAAATCCAACATATTTAAGCTGTGGGTTTCTATAGTGCACAGTTTGTGATCAGTGTTAGAAGACTTCCTCCGTGACAGCTTCTAAAAGTGTGTGAATTGTAACTTGATCCTTCTGAAGTAAAGATTCCTAGGTGATATGAACTTAGCTGTGGTAAATGTCTGCTAAGGAACTAGAAATTTAAAATAGGTATTAATTGTTCCTGTGTAAAAACATAACTTCATGTGTCCATAAATAAAGTCTAGAAAACAGTGATGTTAAAAGAGAAATTGGGATAAATTCTTAGGAGAGGAAGATCATGGGAAGTAGTCAGTAAGGAAAGCCAAAATTGGCTGTGCTGCTTGAGGAGATTGAGAGAAGTCCATCTGCTCTTATGCTTCTCATGAAAGAAGGTAGTTGAATACAAGCATGGCAGTCTGCTTGTGGGATCTTGCACTAACTCTGTCTTAATTGCTCTTATTATTTAATTCAGATGGCTGATACAGTGAATTCTTTTTTGTACACCTGAACAAAAGGTGTGCTTCCAGTTTGATAAAATTGCTGTAAATAACTGTCAATCKTTTATGTCTTGCTATTAACACTTAATAGAATTGAAGAGATTAATGAGAAACAAGGTACACAGCTGGCATTTCCCTTTTGATTTTTTTTTTGTAACTTAGTCACTAAAAGAAAATAAACTCAAGTGAAGATAATTTACAAGACTTTTCAAGGAGTGCAACAATTAATTTAATTAGGCCATAATCATGTTTAATTCACTTTTCTGTCTATAAAAATTATTTCTAAGAACTAATGTTRTAAGTGAAGCTAGGGAATATCTAATTTTTTTATGAATTATTTCTGCTTTTAGTCCAAGGAAGACCTTTTGAAGTTAAAGAGATGTTTTTGGAGGACATTTTACGAAGTACTGGGTATACAAACAAAGAGATGGTAAAGTACAAAAAAGAGAAGCAGCAAGGTTGGTGGACTTGTTAATTGCAAAGGCTGGTAATGTGTCTCACTGATTGATTGAACAACAAATAGGATGATGCTCTGTTAAAAGTCAGATTATTAAGTGAAACATGATTAGRTAGCAGCAAGTAATTTTAAGACTGTGTTTACATTGTTGATGTAGGTTGTGATTGAAAAATTATTTTTACTTTCAGTGGTTGTACTCTTACTTCTTTCAGTTGATAAATGTTACATTTTTCCTAATTATTGTGAAGTGGAGTTACATACAATTGGGGGCTTTGCCCTCATGAAARCTATAGAAACATAAGATGCAGTATGCTGACATTTAGATGCAAATTAAAGTGCAGCTGTTAGAGAAGACAGGATTTTTTATATCTTGCACAGAACTGGTTTCTACTAACATTTTTCAGTGCATTCTTCGGACGTGTGCATTTAACATACTTAGCTCAGGAGCATTAACATACATGAACCAAATGTATGGAGTTCTTTTCAATTGATTAAGTATTTGAGTATATTTATTAAAATATTTGAGAAGCTTTCTTGACAGCTGAAAGTAATGATCCTAGGGAGTATTAAAAAAAAAAATAAAAGACCAGCTCCAAAGGTACAACATACAATCCTAACTGCACACTTGTCATGGTGCTCAGCTCTTGATCACTGTGAGTAGAAAAGCTCAGTTGAGTACTGATGGCTTCTACTGTTTCTTGTACACATAAAATTAATTGTTACATGCAAGAGTTATATCACTGCTCTTCGGTATTTCACTTGTGGAGAAGGAGAATCTGGGCTGAGGATTATGTAGAAGGTAGTTACTTAGGAAGCTCRTTTGAATGCAGTAAATTGGAGGCTTAATGGGTTAAGTAACCAAGTAGTGTTTCCTGCCTTGTTCTTTATAGCAAATGTTTCCAGAGGCGCACTTCGGGTGCCCTTAATCATGGAATTTATATTGGACTGACAACAACATTCTAGATTAAATAAGAGATCAAATAGTTTTAACTTGGTGACTTGATACAGCTATTTTTTTAAAACTGAAATTAAAGGATAATTAAAATTACTGTAAAACTTTTCATGGAAATCTTTCATGCATTCTAGAAGAAAAACAGCAAAGCACCCTTACTGAGTGGTGTTGTGCTCAAGAAAATAATAGTAAGCTGGAACGAGAGAGACCAAGATCTGTCCCAAGGGCAACTGAAGAGTGTAATCTGTTGAGTGATGGTAGTGACACAGTATTTAATCAACTGGTAAGTTTTTCCTTTTGTTGGGATATTTGTTYTAATATGCTTTAAAAACTTTTTTCAGGAGATTCTACTCCTAAAGAATTTGTTGAAAGATTTTTTATAAATTATTTTATAAATTATTTTTTTAAATTATCATTAACTACTCTAGCAGAACTGTGCTTTTCATTTACAATGGTTTATACATAACTTTTCTTCAGATTAAGAGCCTGAACTGCCATTGCTTAAARTACTTGCATATGATACAATAAATGCTTTAACTTGTAGCTGAATGCTGGATTCCTGATTGTTACTTGGAATAGTAGCTGTTACAATTCCTTCATGTGTAATTTATTAGAGTTAAGATAAGTCTTAGAAGACATCTATTTTCAGTACTCCTTTTCCTCTTCAGACTGAAAAAGATGTGAATTGCCTTGAACCATGGTTAATAAAAGAAATGGATTCTTGTCTTTCTGACATCTGGTTGCATAAAGATACTGATGCTTTTGCTCAGGTGTTTCATCTCATTTTAACTGAAAATGTCAGTGGTAAGTGTATTTTCTTATTACCTAAGAAAAAAACATWAACAAAATTACTTGAATTTCTGTGGCTACTTTATCTCCAGTTTCGTACCTTGTTAGTCTGGATTCTGATGCCTGTTGGAAAAGTGAATAGAACTGGCAGAATTAGTGAATTGTTTAGTTATTTTTGTTGCACTTGTTTTGATGTATTAACAGATGTTACGGTGTGTCTAAGTAGTGCTAAATGCACATGAACTGAGTTGGTGAGAKGAAGTGAGAAAACAAATTCTCTTTGGCCTGGATTTTAAAAGTCATATAAGCAACGTTCATACCACATGTAAATAAAAAAAACGAAGTTTTTATTTGGTTTGCTGATTTATTTATTGATTTATTTGTACTTCTCAGTTGATTACAGGCACAGTGAAACCAGTGCGACTGCACTAATGATTGCTTCAGGGAGAGGCTTTTTGAGTCAAGTCGAGCAGCTGATCAGTATGGGAGCAAGTATCCACTGCAGATCATCTAATGGCTGGTACAAACTAACAAACCAAAAGATAGATTGATTTGTCAATATGTAAATGAAGTAGAGATTTCTATAACATTTAAAATTACTGCTAACCTAACACACTACTGTAAGCAATAAGAAGTTCTAACAATCTAAATATGTTTAACTTCTGTTTATCACACTGTTGTCTGGAAAATCTAAGTTGAATTCTTAATTACAGAGTCTTGAGCTGTGTCTCTTTTAAGTGGGAAATTTAAAAAAATATTTTTGTGTAACTCTTTCAGGATGGCTGTGGACTGGGCTAAGCACTTTGGGCAGACTGAGGTTGTTGACCTGTTGGAATCCTACAGGTAACCTATAACTACTCTGCAGAAACAGTTAAAGGGAAGTGTTGAATGGAAATTTTGTGTTTCGTCTTCTAATTGGAACAGTTTTCAGCTTTTTGTGCCTTTAAATCTGACCTAAATGGCAGGATTTATTTGAGACTAGGAATGTTACAAAAACATGCCTTTTTTAAGAAAAGTGTTTTCTATTCAATGTTACAGTGATTATGTTGTGCAAATCCTAGGATAAATATAACAGTGTAGACTTCTTTCATATTATTACTTTTTATCATTTTGATGTGGGCATTAGCATCGTGGTTATATGTCTAGGCAYGGTATGAGTATAGTAATTTACATAAATAGATAGAGATGCTGATTCTACCATTTTAATTTCAGAGGCTTATTTTGGAAACAAATAYGTTGGCTTTTATCTGTGCTTTGTTGATACATAGTAGCAATATTAAATAAACTTTATAGAAGTAACATTTACACTAGGCCATTCAAGGACTGTTTTTAATGAACTCACAGTTATCTATTTTGTAGAGACCAGTATTTTTAGATCACTTCTTAGTGTAGTTCTCCTAGTGTATTACCTGCTTACYGAAGGAAAATGTTTGGGAAATACATTTCTTTTAAATATTTTTTATTTAACAGGTAGACAAGTGGTGTATTTATACTTTGAGTTCTGACACTTTGCTTGGATATGTTTCGATGAAATGCAAGAAAATTAAAGTTAATGCTAAAAATTGAAGTTTCATGCATTGTTGTTACTCTTCTGTCAGRGTAGTTGGAGGTGCTGTTCTGCTACACTTTAAAATTAAAATTCAAATGGGGTAATYGTGTTGGTGTTGATCTAAGTTTAGTTGATGGCTGAATGCAAACACAAACAGCTTTGGCTATGGTCTGTGCATTTGTCTATTTTAGTGCTTCAGCAGGATTTGGAAATCTGGATGAGAGTTCCCTCGTCCGAGCAAGTGGTAGTGACCTCAGTGCAGAGGACAGAGAGCTGTTGACAGCTTATCATCACAGTTTTGATGATGAAAAAGTGGATCTCGATCTCATTATGCACTTACTTTATAACATCTGTCATAACTCTGAGGCTGGTAGGTATGCACATACACTTACAAGAAATTACAGTGCATTTAGCCTTTGATGAATGCTGCCCTTCTTTTGGAAACACTAAATAGGTGAAACTGTCCAAGTGCTACTCTTCACACTATTGATACATATTTTAGGTGAATTTTCTGCTTAACTCTGCAAACCTGCTTCTTTTTCAGGAGCAATTTTAATATTTCTTCCTGGATATGATGAGATAGTTAGCCTGAGGGACCGTATTCTTTTTGATGACAGGAGATTTGCTGATAATGCTCACAGGTAAAGCCTCCAATTCCTACGGCTGAGGTTTTCATTGGYTCTTTTAAAAATAGTTAAATGTGCTCTTTGTCTTGTATTAGATATCAGGTTTTCATGCTTCATTCAAATATGCAGACTTTTGATCAGAAGAAAGTGCTTAGAAGTCCTCCTCCTGGTGTGCGCAAAATAGTAAGTTTTAGAGGACTTTGTCAGATATTATATTAATCTATTTTGTCTTTGCTTGAATTACAGTTTTGGTTGTTTCTTGTTTTATTTGCAGATTCTTTCTACAAATATTGCAGAAACCAGCATAACTGTCAATGATGTTGTATATGTTATTGACTCAGGCAAGGTGAAAGAGGTATGATTGGTTAGAACTTTCTGTGAGAAGTAAATTTCCTAGTGTTATTCTATAGTACATAATATGTAAATTTTTAAGTACTATTTTTAATAGTAGGCTGAGAGCTGTTGTGTGTCAAGTAACAAAGGTCACTGAGATGTTTGACATTCATTTGTTTTATGACAAATACTGCAAACAACCAGCTGTTCATAAATCCTCTGAATCTACTGTAGTTTGAAGTGTTGATATATCTTATTTTTTAAATTCAGAATTTCTGGGGTTTTTTTTTAACAAGTCAGTCGGTTTAGATTACTGTCTTCCTGAGACTTAAGAAAGCACTGGGAATTCCCTCTTCCTAATATTGTGTCAAATCCAAATCTAATCCATGAAGTTTTTAGGTATTGTTTCTGGTGTGTTGAATGCCTGTTCCCAAACTACTTATTAATGAAAAGTGACATAGCAAAATGAGGTCGTTTAAGACCTTTTATATGTCTTTAAAAATGAAGTTGGATTTCATAGGGGAGTTGCACACCAAAGTTCTAAAGTTCTAAAGTTCTCATGGTAATAGAATTTTTCTTTAATTTTGCATCAATAAGGAAAATAAGGATGTAATTTCCAATTGAGACAAAGAAGAAAACTTTAATCAATATAATAACAYACTTTTTCCTGATTTGTGATTATTCAAAACACAGTCCATGTAAGTTCCATGTAGGAAACTGTGCAGCATTACATTGCAAAGGTAATGTAAAAGCAATTGAAAGGAAGTACTTCAGAGCATACTTTGTTCCAGAAACTGCTAGTGTTTGTTCCAATTATTTTTTTCTGTTTTTTAAAGAGCTTCTGTTAATAGTTCGTTAATAACTTCTATTTCATGTATCATGTTTGTCATGTTTAATCTTGGTTTTATGTTCCCTCTTTTGCTTTTATAGAAGTCTTTTGATGCACTGAGTTGTGTTACAATGTTAAAAATGGTGTGGATTTCAAAGGCCAGTGCTATCCAGAGAAAAGGCAGGTAATAAATGCTTTATACTGGTCATTATTTTGCAGATGTGCACCGTCCTATATGTAAAGACTAAAGTACAAACCTATAGCAGCCACACTGGGTAATGTTTCAGCCTAGTCCAATATCATCTTGGACAGTGGCTAATACTTCTCTGCAGTAAATGAATAATTGGCATGTATTTGCTTGGAGTAATTTCCCAAGATATAGAGAAGTGACATTCAGGATTATCCCAGAACTTACCTTAGATCTAAGTTGTTGCTCCTCCATGCATTTTCTCTTTCTGCCATGTGGCACCAACAGCTGCAGTAACTTGTCTGTCGGTAGAGGACTGCCTACTGCTACCTTTTTTTGATAGCCTGGCATCCCTTTTTTAGAGGTGACATTGAGTAGTGATTCCTTACTGACCATYTCCAGAGTATTCATGACTTAACAGGCCATGATCATACTCTTCTCAGCACAGTGGCTGAGGGCTGAGAAGTTATATATGGTAGAGAGCAACAAATACCTGTTTCGAGACATGATATTGTCATGATATTCAAGACATGATACTACCTTCCAGGTTTTTCAGCATGAATTGTGAGCATTTACTGACTCTGTTCCTTCATTCACATGTTGTATGGTCTTTGTTATACCATTTGCATCAAGAGTAACTCCTGACTGGGGAATGTGAAGAGGAAGAAATAAAGTTTACAACTTAGATTCCCCATGGCACAGGGTGGCTGAGATTTGGATTGATCTCAAGTTAGCAAAAAAAAGATATAACTTTATTTAGATAGACCTTACTTCTTTACCTCTAGATTTTTCAGTGTAGAGTCTGAATTGTTATAATTATTTAAAATAATTTTATTTATAATAAGATTATATAAATTTTCATACCATCAAAAGTAATTAATGTAGTGGAAAACTCTTTAAATTCRTATGTGGGACTTCCTCTTAACAACAAAATTACCATTCTCTTAGATCTGTATTTACATTCYAAGTTTGTGTGGGTWGTTTCTTGTTTKGTTGGGTTTTTTTKAAAAAAGCAATTCTAATTTTCACAGCTTCCTATATTTTATTTTCCAGGGCTGGGCGCTGTCAGCCTGGAGTCTGTTTTCGTCTCTTCAGCAGGCTCCGCTTTGAAAATATGTTGGAATTTCAGACTCCRGAACTTTTAAGAATGCCACTTCAGGTGTGTGTTCACTTACAAGTTTCAACTTTTGAAAAACATACTATCATCAGACCATACTAATAGCCCAGAAAGATGTGTATGTATTTTCCTAAAAGTTAGCAGTATTTTTTTTCTTTTYAACTTGCAGGAGCTTTGTTTACACACAAAACTTCTGGCTCCARTAAACTGTCCAATTGTTGACTTTCTTATGAAAGCTCCTGATCCTCCACCAGCTTTAATTGTGAAAAATGCTCTGCAAATACTCAAGGTCAGYAGGGGAATACATTTAGATGGGAATTGTGTTTAATCGGTATTTGTGGTGCAGTAACATATCTTACTGACTATTAACTGTACTGAAAGTCCTGTTCAGTTACTTAAGGATGCTTTGAATTTTTGTTTGTTTTCATTTTATGTGTGTGTATGCATTTTTCCATGTTAAGGAAGGAGACTACTGTAAAATCTCATCTGGAACTATCATTAGTTTCACTTGCTTCTTTAGTCTTTGGGAGCAGTTTTAGGTAATGTACAACATTCATATCCTTTCTGCTTTCATTGTAAATTAATTTTGTCCTCTTTCTTCTTCTTCCCCTTGTCCCTACATTCCTCTCTTTTCTCTCTTTTTTCAAACAGACTATAGATGCCATGGACCCTTGGGAAGACCTCACTGAACTTGGTTACCATCTCACTGAACTGCCAGTGGAGCCGCACCTCGGTAAAATGGTGTTGTGCGCCRTCGTTTTGAAGTGCCTGGATCCTGTTCTTACCATTGCTTGTGCTCTTGCCTACCGAGACCCTTTTGTGCTGCCCACGCTGGCCTCTCAAAAGYGTGCAGCCATGCTGTGCAGGAAGCGTTTTACTGCGGGGACATTCAGTGACCACATGGTGCTTCTCAGGGCTTTTCAGGTATCCTTTCAGAACGAGTGCTATTCTCGGGAGATCACACACCTGAGTAAWTGACGTACTAGTCCAGTTGGACATAGAATGGTAGACCGTGGCTTTCCTGTTTATATGACTCAGTATTTCTGAGGGAACACAYTTTGTGTTATCTTTTAAACCTGGTTAAATTTTGAGAATTCCAACATGATGCTGCTTTATATCCTGCATAATTATCTGTATAGAAACATAATGAACTTAACATAATTATTGTATGTTTACGTTAACGAATGGGGAAAATGATCTAGTAATTAAACAGCAAAAGCAGGTTTGGTACTTTTGCTTTGGTTAATATTGTTAATCTAAATTCTTAAAAATACACGTTTTTAAATTTTAGATATTTAAATTAATAGCAAATGTTAAAAAATTATTCTCTACAGGCGTGGCAGAAGGCGCGCAGTGATGGCTGGGAGAGAGCCTTTTGTGAAAAGAACTTCCTGTCTCAAGCCACAATGGAAATCATTGTAGGAATGAGAACACAGTTGCTTGGCCAGCTTAGAGCCTCAGGTAAATAGGCTGGAAAAAGTTCTAACATAATTTTGGAGTCAAGTGTGTACAATTCATAACAGCAATAACATTTTCCTTCCTTAAGTTGAAAATGACCTGTACACACTCATGCTGGGCATGGTGGAGATGCTGGGGTGAGAAAATGTGGCTGGGGAACAGCTGGTATAACTGAAAGCACCCTGATTGTTCAGCTGCTGTCTTGCAGTGTGAGACATGTTTCCTTGGATTTTTATGTTCTAGTAAATTTTTTCTTGAGGAAATTGTTAAAGATGAGTTCAGACCCTATGTTCTGAGACAGAGTGAATAAAGAAATCCCTAGGGCTTTATACCCTGTCACGTGCTCTGCATGTTCCTTGCACGCTCCTCTTGATCAGTTTATGGTCTGGCGTCTTCTACCGCCTCGCTGGATTCTTTCTCCATGTCCAGTGTGGGCAGCCCATTACCTTCTGTTCCTGCTTGAGCCAGCCTTGGGGCCTCCAAGGTCTCATCCTTTGTTCAAAGATGTCCTGTCTTTGTTTCTTCCCCTGCTTAGCCATTCATGTTAACGAACAGTTCATTCAAAATTCAGCTACACTAGGTTTTGAGCAGGGCCCACGCATGCTAAGCTATAAGTATGTTACAATTAAAGTACACAATTTCTAATATTCTGTTAAGTGAAGAAGTATTGTAAAAYGTTGTTCTGTTCTATGTTACTTTGAAACCCCTTACCGGGAAGGATCTCAGTGCATGGGTTWCTTCTTGATGCTGTTATTGTTGACAGTTGTGAAAAATGCAACTAATTTGTATTTTATTTCACTTCTTTTTTTCAAATTCCTTTTGAGAAGCAAAAAAAAAATAGATCTTAAATTCAAACAAATATAACTCAGTTTTGACATCTCTCTTTCTTCAGGTTTTGTTAGAGCCAGAGGAGGAGCTGATATTAGAGATGCTAATATTAACTCTGAAAACTGGGCTGTAGTTAAAGCTGCCTTAGTGGCTGGGATGTATCCCAATCTTGTGCATGTGGACAGAGAGAAGCTTGTTGTAACTGGACCAAAGGAGAAGAAAGTGCGATTTCATCCTACCTCTGTTCTCAGTCAACCTCAGTATAAAAAGGTAAAACCACTTCGAACTTTTTAGAAAATATTTTTTCTGGCAGGTGATGGAATGAAAAATTTGAGTTCATTTATTTTTCCAGTTAGTCCTGCTAAGTGGTGCTTTTACCAAGTCAAAATGGTAAAAAGAAAAAGCTAGTTAYAAAAGTATCTTGAAGATGTAACAATCTCTGCTCACTGTGGAAGGAAAAAGTTCTGCTCTGAAACTGGTATTTCTTTAGATCCTCTTTTAAAGCAAGATATTTTGTTCCAAGGTGATAGGGTAACTTGTGAGTCTGGTTGAATTTTCTTGTGCTTTTTTAAGTCATGTATGTGTAAATATTTATATATTTTTGCTACATACATAAAGTAAGAATTAAGTTAAAATTTATTTTAATTACACATAGAGGATAAAATAGCCTAGTCCTATTTGCTCCTGCRCAGATTCCCCCAGTGAATGGCCAAACTGCAGCTGTTCAGGCACTCCCTACAGACTGGCTTATATATGACGAAATGACGAGAGCTCACAGGATAGCAAACATCAGGTGCTGTTCTGTTGTAACACCCATCACTGTGGCACTCTTCTGCGGACCAGCTAGGTTACCAAGTAATGCTTTACAGGCATGTCCATCCTCACAAGGTATACTGGAGTCTGGATTTGGAATGTTTCCGTTAGCATATGCTAGTATGTGATTTGGAAGGCTTATTTTTCAATTATATTTTCTACATATTTTGGCTAATTCTTAAAATGACAGAGCTATATGTAGTTCCTGTAGCTGCTCAGGAATGGTTTATAGGCTCTGTAACTGATGTCTGAAGTATGTGAATACTTGTAAGTTCRTATCTATAAATTGCACTTCTACAGTTCTGGAGTCTCACAATTACAGTAAAGTTTTTAAGTAAATAAAAAATGCAACCAAAATGTTTAAAGACAATACTAATGATGACAAGTGTGGAACATATGTTTTTTTCTACAGCCTGGTTTATTTAGTACTTTGAACCAGATTATTCAAACTGAATAATGTAGTTATAATTAATATGGCAAATAATCGTATTGCTTCCAGTTGACATGCATTTTAAAGATTATTTTCTGCTGATAACTTTTAATGAAATTAGCCATATTATTAGCTAGAAGTAGTAATGTATTAAAATTTTCTTTTTTTATATTTAAATGGAGTGCTGTAAGAAGCAAAAATTAYCTATCTGTTGTCAGTTTTGTAAAGATACTAGTTTGACTTGAAGTAAGAGTCCGTGCTATTTGGAAGCTTTCCTCTTTAACTGTTACCCTTAAAATAGTGTTAACACTGATTGAATTGCAATTTGAAAAAAAAAGGCATCTTAAATAGCCGTGTGCATATATAACTTTTTTTTTCTTAATGGGGCTTTAAATATACTGTTATATAGTGGTATGAAGCCTAGAGCAATGTACATTTTACAAACAACTTCAGGCAGGCAAAAGTTTGATAATGGCTTGTTATTGATGAAGGTACATGGAAGAGTCAGATCACATCAGTATAGAGGTTTACATAGTAGGTCCCTTAAGAGGTTTGGGAACTTGTTCTCACAACTGAAGCAAAGACTTTCACTAGTGTCCATATGCAGARATTAAAGTGTGTTTACAAATATTTGCATTTTAAATGAAAATGTAGAAGGAAAATTATTTTATTGCTTGTAACACAGTGATGTTCRAGTTTTGGTTTGTAAGTGTGGATAATGCAGAAATGTTAATGCATCTTAATTCAGGAGATGGGGTATCTAATGGTAGCAGTGACAGTGAGATGGAGGACAGAACAACTTCTAATTTATCTCTGCTGAAGCTAGATGAGTGGCTCCACCTCAAACTGGACTCTGAAGTAAGTAATCTATCACTTCCATGCTTGATTCATGTAGAAGGATATTTATGTCATACCATCCTAAAAAGATTTCTGGAAGAGTTACATAACCAAAAATTTACTGTATGAATGGCTGTCATGGTCCTTTCAAGCCTCTGAAATTTACATGAGAATGTACTGTGGGAGTTAACTTTTATTTCATGAGTTCAGTAGGAAATGCGAAAACCAGACAAGCAGGCTCAATCTCCTTTTGTCCAGATTGTGGACAGTCAATTGTGTGAATTCACAAATTCAGCATCCAAGTTGTAGGGCTTCCTATGTATTGTAACAACCCGTAACTCTCAAATCTTACACCTATGAGCAAAAAGGAGCAAAAAATCAGTTACCTAGCCAACTGTGAGAGTGCTTATCTTTCTTCCTCTATCATGGTGCTGCTGTCCCACATATCACACTGGGAAGCATGAAAGCCRCAGCAGTCAGCTACTGTTGGATCTGCTTGAGAAGCACTTTAGGTAATCTGATATATTATAATTTCCAGATTGGCATTTTGATCCATTTTCTTAAGTTAACAGATTCTAAAGAAACTGCCAGACAAAAGAAAACGGCTGCAGGAAAGAGCAAGCTSCACATGGTAGTGGCTACATAATGGCCCCTCTGCTCTTTGTGGCCCTTGTATTGCCTGTTTTAAAAAAGAGCATATCTATGTATAGGTATTTTTATTTATTTATGTGATGCTCCCAGCACACAAGGCCTTACTTAGGTTGAGTTGCATTAGCCAAAATTTGAGCGGGAGAGAACAGTTACGGTGGCATATTGTCTATTTCCTTCTCTGAGAGGATGACTATAGAGTTTATTGACTGAAATGGAGTACCTGAAACTGGAACTGCTGAAAGAAAATTGCTGTCAGGTTTTRGAAAAAGAAGAAAAAAGCCCCAACTTTTGAAGATAGAAATCTTCAGGTTATTGAGAAGCTGTGGCTGTGTTAGAAGGTAGAGTAACCAGAGGTCTTTTCATCGAGTAYGGCTAAAGACCCCATAAATACAGACTGAATTGGCAGGAAGGGCATTAGACATGAAAAGACTGCTTTTTCAAAAGAAGATAAACTTTTAAAATGAAAAAATTAAATATCCGATGTGTTTACAGTAGAATTTTAAGTTTCGTGGAGAGCTGCATGAAATGTTTTAGAAATCACCTTGTACCTGAGGAAAGAAAAGATAGCTGCTTAATTTAAACTTGAGGTTTTCTCCCCCTCTGCAAGACCTTAGTCTTGCATTTCAGTTTGCCAGAATGCCAACTGCTGCCTGATAGGAAAGACCTTAAGGTACCCTTTGCCTCACTGAKCTAATTTTTATTAGTTGTTAACAGAACTGAAATTCATTACAGGCTGCTGGTTTGCTGTTGCAACTCAGACAAAAGTGGCATAGCTTATTTCTGCGTCGTATGCGATCTCCTTCTAAATCTTGGTCTCAAGTTGAGGAAGGAATTGTAAGGGCAGTTGTGGCTGTTTTAACTGCTGAAGAACAGTCTGCAGGTTTGCAGCAGCCTTCAGGAATTGGTCAGAGACCAAGACCTGTGCCTTCTGAAGATCTTCGTTTAGCATCTACGTGGAGGTCAACTAACCCCAGAAGAGACACAGCAGAAACGGAATTCTCAGACTTCTCTAATGCTGAAAAGTAAGCTGTTGAGATCTTCCAGACACTTCAGGTTGTGATTTATTTGCCTATAAAAGCATCACTTGACTTTCTGCTGGTATTAAGAAGAAAAAAAACAATATAAATACAGCTGAAGGGTTTGRTACTCTCCTAGGCTGTGTTGTAGTTGTGTGGCAGCTGTTTGGGAGACCAGTCAGAAATACTGTCCTTGGGAGTAGCAGAAGAGGTTTAACCATAACATTCAGAAAGGATGCATGCTTTTTTTTTATTTAATGTTAAGTATGTTTTAGAATTAGTATAATATGTGTGGTTATCCAGTAGGCTGATATGTAGATGCATATTGTTCTSTGACTTCCTGCAAAACTCATGGTCTGTTGTGTATCTGCCTTCACTTTTTAGAGGTCTGATGAAGTCTACACATTCTACACTTCACCAGCCAAGGAAGTACAAACGAAAAAACATTTTGCACTCCAAACAAACCTCAGATGACAGGTCAGATCAATCATCGCTGAAATCTGCAGACAGCAGTAGCTTTCCTAGCCCCTGTGCTAGTCCRTCTTCTCCAATATCTGGAAAGGTAGAGTTCCCATAGCCATACTACCCGGCTCTCCAAAATTAATTGAACATCTTACTGATACCTTTCAGCAACCATCAGATATTATATTGATAAATTAAGAACCTTAGATTTTCATTAACTACCACATATTAATTCTTTCTGCACTGAAAATATAGCATAAATATCCCTGTTATACTAGTTTAATACAATCAAAATATTCTTTGCAGACTTCTGAAGTAAAGCTATTCAAAGTGGAAAAAAACCTCAATTTTGTGGATTTTGGTTTTCTTGGTTTTTTTTTTTTTTTTGAAACTTGGTATAATAAAAAGTTACAGTGTATGCAGTACGTGCATTTCTGAGGTCTGGATTCTGTCTTCCTCTGTTTCTGTAATAGCATACATTGGTACTGATTCCCATAAGTTTTGTGTTATCTGCTACATTATGACTACCTGGCAGATTTTTTACAATTACTTTAATAAAGCGTACTTTTTTAGTGAGGTTATTTTCATAATTCTACCTGTGTTTTTTAAATTCAGCCAGTGTTACAGAGAGGAAATTTTTTTCCTGAAAATGGAGATGCAAGTAGTGTGCTGCAGGCTGCAGTCTAGGGTGATTAATTTTGTCTCATCTGTAGGTGTCTCAGACTTCAAGGATTTTTAATTGATCACTAGACTATTTAGGCCTATTCTGTTATAATTGTTTGCTGCCATTCATAAATGAATTTATAATTCTGAAAAGGACTTACTAATATAACATAGATGTAAAATATACTTTAAAATACAGACACAATCAGCTGATAGTGTGTTCCTTATGTAATCTTGGAGAGGAGAGGAAGAGTTCAGTGAAGGGATTTCTGTCTTCATATGTGTAAAACTTCAGAATTAAAGCCTGGTTTATTTTACTGCATTTATTAATTTAATTTAATTTTTTCAGAGTTCCCARTTACCTTCACCAAGACAAAATATGCCAGTTCGGTACTTTATAATGAAAAGTAACAACTTGCAGAACATCGCTATTTCTCAGCAGAAGGGTATATGGTCCACTACACCAAGTAACGAACAAAAACTGAATGGAGCCTTTTTGGAGAGCAGCATGGTTTACTTAATATTTTCTGTTCAAGGATCTGGACACTTCCAGGTGAGTCCTTAGCTGATACCAACTGCTGGTGGTGGTTGATTGTTTAGGAGAGTGCAGCAAATGGGTGTGTACAGTATGGAAGGTTTTGCTTATGACTTCTGAACTTCTAATAAGCAGAGTATTGTGCCAATTYCTCTGGGTTATGAGGAAGGAATACCTTATTCTCCAGAATAGTCCCTGTTAATGAACTCAGTTTGTCCCTCTAAGCATAAAACTAAATTGCCTCCAAACATAATGAGTTCAGAATAATGTTTCTACCCTACGTAATTACTTTAAAACAGTAACAATGGAACAAACAAAAAAAATCCATACACAGCAGGGGATTGCTGCTATTTTCTCTGCATGCCTAAGTGAATTATGTAAGTGAACGAGAAGRTAACATCAAGTTGCAGCTTTCTAAAGCCAGGAAACTCATAGGTGGCTTTAATACAACTTTTAATTAGAACTGTTTTGCTGGAACTATAGTTTCTCAGAGTTAGGAAAGTGGAAAGTCATGGTCATGATTCTTTCAGAACTGTTTTGACTTCACATTTTGTAAGGTATTTGTCAACAATTTGCTGACAAATTCGTGACCAGTTTCAAGACTTGACCTGCTAGTGCAAAGTTCCAAGTTAGCTGTGTTGTAGAGCCTTCTAAAGTCAATTGTTCCAAGTAAAGAAAGTTCAATTTACCTCTTTATATATTAGAAACTATTCATAAAAGTCAGCTGAACTTAAAATTTAATGAACAAGYCCACATGCGGAGGTCTTGGTGGTACCACTGAAGGATTGTGGGGAATGATGCATATATACACAATGATTTAGCAAATGGAGATGCCATATTGGAAAGTAATTTTCAGCATGCCAGTTGAATCTGAAAATGGGGTGTTCTAGCAGTGCTCTTAGATAAGAAAATTATGAGGGGAAGACATACTGAAGTCAGGATGTAGGTGGATTATGTTCCCTTGCTATTCCAGTTTTGACAAAGCACTGGACCTTCATGGGAATGGGAGATTAACATTGCTGATAATATTCTCTTGTCTTGGGTGTCTCTTTAYGTTCCACCTTTGTTTTTCCTCTGTTCCTTTTATTAATTTTCCTTGATTTTCATTGAAGGCTTGAGCTGTCTAGGGCTGCGTGACTTAAACACACTTACTAGTGTGCTAGTAACTTTAGTCAGTGCACTGCATCTCTTGGATTCCTAAGTTATAACTGGAGTAAATTTGCCTAAACAGTTGTGCGTGGCCTGGGTTTATTTTTGGTTGTTTTTTTGTATGTGTGTATGTTTAAAGGGTGTCCTTAAGTAACTTAGATGCAATTTTGGATGTGTGGTTTCTTTAATTTTCTTTCTGAATACTTATCTTGTTGGAATTTCTTTCACCTTCGTTGAAGAAGGAGCTTTAAGCAACTTTGGCTTCTTTCTTTGGAGAACAATGACACATTTTTAATTGTATGTGAAAGTTTGTTAACAGAGAGGGAACAAGGGAAAGAAGGAATGGGTTTTTGCAAGAATTCTGTACAGGTAGCAAGGAATAACTAATGAACATAGAACATTTGTCTTGATACCTTGCACTTTAAATGTTTTTACAACAGCTTTTCAACCTCTGATACAAAGCTTAAAAAAAGCCTTGARTGGTAATTGTGAGAGATGAATTGAAAGACATAATTTGCGGTCAAATTCTAGAAGGTATATTTGAAGTGGAAAAAGCAAATAATACTTCTAACTTTCTAGGTGTAAATATTTTAGAAGATGCAACTTCGTGTGGGTGAGTGTTTGAATCACTTTGAAACTAATTTGAAAGTTTCATATTAAGTCCACTCATTTATTTAATTCCAGTATAAATAGATATGCTCTCATCATGTCTGCTCTTTCATATTTTCATTTTTCTTCCAGGGTTTTGCTAGAATGGGTTCTGCAATAGGGTCTGAGAAAAGTCAGGACTGGGGATCTTCTGGATTTGGAGGTGTATTTAAGGTGGAGTGGATCCGAAAAGAAAGCATTCCTTTTCAGTTTGCACACCATTTGCTCAACCCTTGGAATGACAATAAGAAAGTACAAATAAGCAGAGATGGCCAGGTAATTATTCTCTTCTAAATTCTTTACTTGATAGAGCTATGTTTTGTTTATTAGCTTGTTCAGCCTTGAGCTCAATTGTGCTCATGTATTTGTTAACACAAATCACAGTTCCTCGGTGYGCATTTTACCTTCTGCTAATATAGAATTACTGTTGAAGTAGTGGATTTTTTAAAATCAAACCAGTTTCTTGCTTGATGCTTATTTTAAAAACCTCAACATTTAAAGCTGGATTATTCCAAAATGTGGTTTTGTTGCTTAAAAAAAAAAAATCCAGTGGTTTGTTTTCTGTTTGCTTAGGATGTGTTCCCTGACATCAGATAGTCTGTAATACCAAAATAACTGTTCATAATTAGAGGTTTGCATTTTCCATAAAGCCTGAAAAGAATCTTGATATTTGAGGTAGAATAAAGGTAAGTACTATTCCTCAATTCATTAAAGCTAAATGTAACTACAAAAAGCCAGAAAAGAATTCGGACAAGAATTTTCTGTGGCRGTTTCTGCATTCTCAGTGCCCTCTCAAAACATCTCCTTGATTCTAGATTCTAGAGAGAAACTTTTTCTAGTGTCTTCTCATTGCTTCCCCCAAACCTCTCCARTTGTAAGACTGAGGAAAGGAGCATACTGTAAGTATAAGGAAAGGAGCATAGCACACATTGAAGTTGACAATGCTTCTCTCCTAAGTGGCTCTTAAGACATGAAGAATCTCAACAATATCAAAAAGAAATTATTTATATTAAGGTCCGTGATTCTGCCAAGAGCCACTTCATTGCCTGTGACCTGCCTTTCTGAGTTCTCCACCACACTTAATAGACTTAAACGTGAAAGATGTGGAGAACAAGGATCTTCAGTTAATAAGGAAGTGACCTGTGGAAGGCAGGAATTACATGGTGCACCTGTTTTTATGGTGGTGTATTCTTTGGGAATTCTTTTGTGAGAACTGACATCTTGCTTGAATGAAAAAACGCCAACAACCTGTAGGCTAATGTTGTGTATGGAAATTTTTTATCTCCTGTGGGCCTTTGTAGTAGGAATAGTGCTAATATATGTCACAATAGCAAATGGAATGAACTCTTTSAGAAATACTGGAAGCATGCACCAGCAACCTGTTCTAAGGATTTTGTGATAGTTTCTATATGTACAATAGCAGCATTGCTAATAACTTTTCTAATTTCCTGATCATTTCCAGGAGCTGGAACCACAGGTTGGAGAGCAGTTGCTGCAGCTTTGGGACCATATTCCTTTGGAAGGGAAAAAACCCAACTGATTAAGCATGTCAGACAATGTGATAGAGGTAGTCATTATTTCATGTATTGCTTTCTGGTTTTATGATAGAGGAAAAAGAGTCAACRTACACTGTATCTTTATGGTACTGTGATTTGTAGCTTGTGGAAGAGCAGGTGCACCAAGGACTAAATATTCTCTTCCTTTTTATTTTTTCTAGCTGACATTGTTGAAACATCAGCTCTAACCATTAGAACCAGCAGCATGACTACAATACAAAGATGAGGAAGAAGGTGGTGCAACAATCTAATTACTGAAGCTGTTAGTCATAATGTGCAGCTAGCAGTGGTAAAAAAGAGGGAATTATGTTTGTTTCAGTGTTTCCTTGTTGTAACAAATGTCAATAAGGTTATCCACAAACTTGTTTTTGACTGGATTATTTTTTCTACTGTAGTGTGCAGGTATTTAAAGTTCAAACCTAAGTTTAAAGCAATGGACCACATGTAAGTTGTTTATGGTTTAAAATACCTCAGCACACAGTTTACATTTAAAGCATTTTCAACCCAGTGAATGTGTAAAAGAAACCAGTTTCATGTTAATTGATCATTCTTGCAGTTTTAATAAAATAAATTAATTGAGAGTAGAYGTCTCCAAATGTGTTGGGAGATTACATAAGTGTTTATCGAACTTCTGTATGCACAATGCAAGAGAGAAGGATATATTCATACAAACAATTAGCTGGAGAATGCTGATTTTTGAATTTTAATTTAAATACAGAAGGGAAATGAACATGAGACTTCAAGTGTGGAATGGTGTTTCCAGYTTCAATTTTTTTTTGCTTTTAAAAATACTCACACTTTGACAAGCTGAAACAGTCTTTCAGAGGCCTGTGGCCAAATGGTACTCTAATAGTTCACTAACTTGAGCATTGTTAAGAGATTTTTACTTCTTTTATAAAAAATAAAAAATAATAACCAGTTCAACTTCCTTCATCTTTCAATGTCGTCTTCATGTTTTCTTTCTAAGCCTCGTCTTTTAAGTTCTTTTCTTTTTCTGTACTGTTGTTGTTTTGGTTTATTGGGCTTTTCCTTAGTCATTAGCACACTGTAATGTAAGGCTGTTGCAAATTCAGTTTGCTTGCTGTCAGCACTGTGTGCTCATTCTTAGGTTAAACTGAGAGCTTTTTCTGCCTCTGAGCTTCTACTTAGTGTCGTGTGTCTTCTCAGGATGTTCTCACAGTTTGGTCTATCCCATGTGTTCATCTAGCACAGCATTGCTAGAAACTTAAGTTAGACCTAAAACACGCTACTGCAGGACCTGATGAAGTCAATAAAAGAGTTGCCAAGGATATGAATGCCTGTGAAGGAGAAGGAGACGAAAACCTTATCTAAAGATTTAAAAGAAAAGGAACCTTCAGGCATTAAGAAACAAACAAAAAAAAATTTTAAAATATATGCATGTTTTCATTTTCAGTCTAGAACTGAAGACTCATTTGCACCAAGTAGCATGGCTTAAAATCCTTTGTCTCCTTTCTCTTGGGAGACATTTATTACTAGTTTACCACTCTATTTATATAAAAATAGTCAAGATAAATTACAAGAATCCTGTACTTGGACAACAACCAAATTTTTGTCATATTGCTACTTCTCTGCCAATCAAGATACAGTTCTTTTATAAAGAAAAGCCATGTGTGGCAGATGCTGCTTGAATCCATGTTCTGGTTGAGACAGCAGACAGGTGGAAAGTTAAAGTTAGTTTTTAGCTGCACTGCAACCATACTCTCTCACAATCAGTTGTAGGAAAACTGGCTCTCTTAGTGGGAGTGTGTTCTGCCTTTTTTAAAATAGAGTCATGGGCTTATTTAGGTTGGAAAAGACTTTTAAGTTCACTGAATCCAACTCTTAGCCTGACCCTGTCAAGKGTGGCAAAATAGCCACTTAATTATCAAGTGAGAGTTAGTTGCTGAGGATGCTGGAAGTGGAAAATGGGGAGTATGTAATGTGAATGAAGAATGAACAAGAGAACCACCAGATCAAGAAAAGAAAAATAAAACGTTTATTTAGTAGAAAATGCCAACATAGCAGGCTAAAAACCAAGAAAATAATTAATTGGATGTGTGCTAAATGTCTGTAGGAAAATATATTAGCCTAGTTAGGTACCTGACTTGCTATTCCACACTCAATTTTTCAATAATTACTAAGTATATAAAATCTTAATTAGTTTTTAATGTAAGTAAGATTGGGGAAGTTATTTGTAATTAATTTATTGAAAAAAAATAAATAGGAAATCAAGCAAGCCCGTTTTCTGACACTAAAAAGAAATGTTTCTGAACTTCGCACAGATGAATGTAGGTTATTTCTCTAGTCCTGTAGTTTTGCTAGGACCACTTGTAACTTCTTCATTATTTTGTTTCACGCTTGAACTATATTTAATGTATGCCATACCTTACATACATACATACATACATAGATACATGATGGTTGTGCCTTTTGTGGAATTATTGGAAGTTTTGTTTTTCAACTGTAGAATGTTCTCATCAGTGCTGAAAGCTCAGAAAGGTTCAGCCTTTCTCTGTTACCAGACCTTTAGGATGGATGTGTTCATAAAGTAGACAGTTTCTAGTGTTCAGGCCTTTCTCTGCAGGTTGAGAAAATGATTAGTACATGACGAAGKGAAATGACAGCTGAACATCTACTTTGGGGACTCTTGATTTGCCCTCTTACCCCATTGCTTCTGAAAACTCATAACCCTGACCTCCATGAGTCATTTTGCCACTTCCTTGGTAACACAATCAGTTCTGGCCTTTGATGAGCATTCAGTATCACACCAACTCTCACTGTCATCTCTGAGAGCAGAAGCAGTTTGGCTATCCGAACATTTCCTGTTTTTAAAAGGGAAGTTGAATAATGAGCCTTACCGTTAGGGAAAACCAGAAAGTGACATGTGCAGAACAGTAATTAAGAAAAGCCATGTTAGGTGTTGGATAAAAGGGAGCTGTTTCTGACTAGCATGTCAGAAGCCTTCTCATTCACTGAATAGGGGTGGGAGAGAAATAGCGGCTTATCATATGGAGAAAATTTCTTGGCATTTATTTTGAAAATGGCTGTGCTGTTACAGTCATTGTGTGAAGATTACTATGATTTGTCTTCATCTCTTTTTGAATAACTTGTGATTTTTATCTGGATCTGACAACAGGAATATGCCCCTGAAATGGTGACAGAGTATGGTAACTCTTTTCCSTTATGAATTCGCTGCATCAGCTGTACTATTGAAACGGAAGGAAAAAATTGGTATGCTTTTTACAAACATGAGCTTTGTACACTTTAAACCAGGAGACTGAGCTTGAATTGAGCATGTAGTTTGGTTGTAGTCACATCCTCCCATGACTGCAACTCTTTCTCTCCACAAGGTCGAGGTGGTCATTGCTGTTAATATGTCATTTGGAAGAATCCTGATTACAAGGACCCTAGGAAGTAAACTTATTTCTTTGTAAGAGTAGAAGCTGGAATGCATATTTTTCTCCCTAGATCTGAAGCTGAAGGGAAGGAGAAGTTTTGTGTGTTTAAGTGTTTAGCTTCTGAGTGTTCCCATGGCACAAGGTGCTCTTGACATTAACTGGATTTTGTGGATTTAGTGCCTTTCTCTATCCTTTAGCTTTTTTTTTTTTTTTTTTTTTTTTTTTTTTTTTTTTTTTTTTTTTTTTTTTTTTTTTTTTTTTTTTTTCAATAGTCTTTGTGCTGTTAAATAACCTGTATAAAGCATTGTGTAATGAAACAATAGATGAAAGCTTTTGTATTGATCTTGCCTGAAGTGGCTCTGCAGCAAATGGTTCTGCAGTCTCCTGGAGTATTCCCAGTGGCCTTTGGGGCAACTGGGATGTATCTATGTACTGTTTAAGGGAACCATAAAAGTTTGGGTTTGGTTCACATCTACTGGTGGAGAGAAGGTCTGAGTGACAGAAGTGGAACAAAATGGTATCTCTGAATTYGGAAGATCATAAGGATCCCCTTGCTTTTGTTTCAGATGAGGGTAAGTACAGCATGGAGTGAAGATCCAAATCCAGACTGGAGAAATGCTGAGTTTCACAGTGGTTCATGCTTGGTGTCTTCATTAAAATAGATATCTCTGTCTTTCCTTAATTTACCTGTAATTTGGGAATCCTGCTGCAGCTGGGCTTTTGTACTCTGCAGGGGAATCTTGTTTGGCTGGATTGCCAAATATTGACAAGATAATTAGTGTCCAGAAAGGGTGAATGTGGCTCATGCACTGCTTCTGGAGGTGCTAAAACTAGAGTTAAAAATCAGCTGTCTAAACTTTGGTGGTGATCCCAGGCCTAAATGGAATGTAATGTGAGAAGTGGCCTATTGTGGCAGGAAAAACAAGTAGACCTTCTTAGAGAAGTGTGGTGAAAGCTTAGAGAATATCTGCTAAAAGTTCATCCGGTTTTTATCAGTCTAGAAAAGGGTGCGTATGCCAGATGCAATTGGGGAGTAATGTCGGGGAGCTAGTCCAGATAATCAGGTTCTGATTGTTTCTTGTGAGCATTGTTTTGTGTGATACAGCTCCTGTACTTGATGTAGGTTTCCTGGGATGTGCAGCAGGCTACCTGGATGCGTGCTCAGCACGTGAGAAGGCTCTGTCTGGGAGATGACGCTCAGATCCTTGTTCTCAGGGCCTGGCACATGTCTAGTGCCGATRTTCTTAGTCATATGCAGCAATGACAGTTCTGGATCCTGCTCTTCCAGGGGAGCTGCCATAGGCAGGCTGTGTGCCTGGTCCTGCTGGGCGGCTGGCTGCTGACTGGGCCTCTGGGTGCCAGCATAGTTCATGTGGGACACTGGTACAGAAATAGGGCTCCTGTACACTGTGTGTGTGTCATATGGTGTAGTATGACACAGTGCAGCCCGCACCAAGCTCTGAGAGCATGTGGCTGTGCCCTGCTCACCACAGTCACCCAGAGAGTTGGGGYTCACCTTGTCCTTTGGCATCTCTGTGGTCCTCGGCTGCAGGACTGGTTCAGGAGATTTCCGATAATGACAGGAGGAAAACTTGAAACAACTTTTATCTGGGCRTCTGCAGTGAAGCCACCCCCCTTGTGAATCCCTTCTTAAGGGGAAGGAACCACCCAAGAGTCATAAATGCTCATGATGAAAAGGAACGACAAAGGTCACAGAGTCTGCATGAAACACACCAAGTTTTATTAGCAACTTACACACTTGGTGTGGAATTTGCTATGTTAGTTCCTAGCCTGCCTATACACACATGGGAGAAGGTTTGGGAGAAAGGGCTGTGGTGAAAGGGAAGGGAGAAAAGATGAATTAGAGAAAGGGAGGGACAGAGAAAGAAAAAGAAAAAATGGAGAGAGAAAAGAAATCAGCAGTCCTGGTTCCAGCGTTGATCCAGCTGATGGGGTCTCATTCGTGGTTCCAGCACTCATCCAGATGATGGGATGTCATTCCTTGTT